CAGCAGTTCTCAGTGCCAGGCCACAAACCTTGCAAGAACTGAGCACCTGGTAGCACAGACACTGGTTGACACTGGGTTGCCCAACTGGTTGCAGAATTATGAGGCGACACTTCCCACAGTCCCTTGACTCTTCATTAACACACCACACACACACACACACACACACACACACACACACACACAACAACACAAATATACTGTGGTGAGGGTTATTAAACAGGCCAGGCTGCTCTAGAACCAAACACTGGAAGCTTTGGTATGACCATAGCACACTGGCCAGGTTGGCTGCCTGCCTCACAGGGCTCTGCAGATGGCAGTCCAGGTCCTAAAAGCAAAACCTCTAGGACATTACTGGAAAGAAAACCATTGAGGCCATGTCACAACTGTGCAAGTGAATGTTTCAGACCAAATATCACTGAACATGTGGGTGCCACTGTCTGCTGATGGGGTGGGAGGTGGGGGAGATGGCATGTTCCTAGCCACGTTAATAGGCAGAGGGGGACCCTGCAAGCTGACTCACTCATCGTGATGTACACCCCTCCGGATCACATGAGAGGGACAGCAAGACTGATGTCAATCATCTCACAGACGTCCTTGGGAGAAAAGAAGAAAACATTCTCCAGGGCCAGGGCCCTTTGCTGTCATAAAGTCCTTCCTCATAACGGCACTCCCTAGACGGACATTGTTAGTAGGATCCCTCTGGTTTCATTAATTACAGGGCAGAGAACAGGAGACCCAAGCTTTGAGTAATGCTGAGCCAGGGAGGGAGGCCTGAAGCCACTGGACCCTTTCATACCCTGGAAGGGACAATACATCGGTTAACCTGCAGCTCCATGCAAATGACTTGCACTGAATTCACTGAGGAAGTGCTGGCTGTGTCAGCATCAGCACTTGGGGACTGAGCCTGAGACACCCCCTTCATATCCAGAAGCCCAAAAGGGCTACAGAAAGGCACTCGGCAGAGCTCCCACAGCCCAGCCAGCTCCTCACCAGCACCGGAGAGCCACACAGTCCCCTGCCAGCCACCTGTAACAATGGCCAAGGGTGTAGAGCACCCTGAGCACTCAAGGTTGTGGCCCTTCTACAGAGAGCCTGAGGACCACCAGTCCCAAGGGTGTCAAGCACATCGCACACACTTTGCACAGCAGGACTCTGACAAAAGGAGTGGAACTGGCCAGCATCTAGGCAGCATCATGTTTAATAGAATGCCCTCTGAAGCCCATTTCAAAATAGAGAAGCTCTCCCAAACTGTAAAAGCCATAAAAATGCAAAATACTTCTTTAGGAAAAACTGAATCAAAATTACGCCTCAATGTTCAAAATAACACAAAACTTATCTCCACTGGTCAGGCACCAAGGTGACCGACCGACGGCAGCTACTGCTCAGCCAAGCGTCAGTTGTTTTCAATCTGCTCCAGGTCCAGGTCACTGTGGTCCAGTGGGAAGACACCCTCCTCTCCTGCACTGTCCCAGTCACTGGTGTCCCCACTGCTCCCACCCTCACCCATACTGGCCTCTGGCTCCCTTGAAACCCATGGGCTGGGGCTGACAGGGCAAGGCCTGGGAATTCTTGGGCTAGAGCCAGGTGTGATGATGCCCACAAGGCCCTGTGAGTCACACGGGGAGGACACGACCGTCTTCGCCTGGGTGTCATCCTCATCATCATCTTCATAGTCCAGTGAGCAAAGGCTCTTTGAATTTTTTAATGTCTGAAATAGAAAAGACATAGGCTGAAGGCATTTCTGGGTATTGTGTGAAGCAGCATTTTCTGTCTACCTGTGAGAACAGAGTACTCTGTATCTAGATGTCCCAAATGGTCACCAAGCACCAGCCACAGTCCTCGGGCTGCCTCCTGGACCTCTGCTCACCACATCCCTCACCTCATCAGTGGTTCAGGCCACATAGGTCCCACAGCACCTGCCAGGCTGGTGCTGGGAGGCCCAGCATGAACCCGCCCAGACCAAAGGCACCAGGTGTATGAGTGTGTGATACCTAACAAACCATAGATGCCAAGGTCTCAGGGTGGGCTGCATCCTGCAGAGCCTGTTTTACTCTCCGCAAGCAGACTGGACAGCAAGATTCCCATGCACCCCATTGCCAACTATACCCAGTCATTAACAGAAAGCCTCAAGTCAGGGTCAGCCAGTTGGACCTCATCAGAGCCCCATGCATCCATGGCTCATCCCTCAAATCCCACCTGCCTCAACCCCACTTCCCCCACCCTCATCTTCTAATGACTGGCCTTTCTCAAATACAGCCTGTGGGAGAACTTTCTCACCCTAAAATAAGACACAAATACACACAACAAGAGGCCTCTGACCACCCTTGTCCAGTAGGATTCCCAGCCTTGCCAGCATCCAAGCTACCTCCAACATATGCCACCCAAGACAAGCCCAGGTCACAGAGCATGACCTCTATGAATTCAACTAGCAGTCTATGCCCCCAACCAGAGCTCTCCCAACTGCAGATAATCCCCCTTCTACACAGGAGGCCTCTCAGACTGTCCCAGGTATCCTATCTGGATGTTCATCCATGTCTTCATGGCAATGTCACGTCAGGACTGTACCTCAGCAACCACCCTCAGCATTGCCAGGCCTTTTTCCCTGCCACCCCCTGGTCTAGCCTTGTGTCCCCTTCCTGCAGCACACAGTCCCTTTCACAAGGCCTCGGATTCTCCATCAGGCTCCTCTAAACTAGCCTCCAACATGTGCCACCACATGGCTGGGGTCTCTAGAGGGTGTGTGGGCACTAGGGTCAAAATGCAGGCCACAGGCCACATGATCCACACTGGCCACTGAAATTATAAGCTATGTGGAGCTACACAGCCACACACCTTCTCCCCAGAGCCACTAGGAAAAAAGCCAGAAAAATGCCTCTGGGACAGGAAATATATATACTTTTTTGAGACAGAGTCTCATGCAGCCTTGTTATATAGCTGAGGGTTGCCTTGAACTTCTGACCCTCCTGCCTCTACCTCCTGAGTGCTGGGGTTATAGGCACACAGCATCACTCCCATGGGAGAGCAGAGCTCTCTCTGAAAGTGCACTTTTTTTTTTGTCTTTTTGAAGCAGGGTCTCCCTATAGCCCCAGCTGTCCTGAACTCACTATGTAAACCAGGCTGGCCTTGAACTCACAGAGATCCACCTGCCTCTGCCTCCCAAGTGCTGGGACTACAGGCGTACACCACCATGCCCAGCTGAAAAGTGCACTTTTAAGGAAATCAGATTTCTCCACAAGACAAACTGCCCTAAGTTTTGTTTTTATTGTTCTACTATAAAAAGGGAATCCCAGCTGGGCATGAGGCACACAGCTATCATCCTAGTACTTAGGAATTGGGGGACGGGAGGACCTCCATTTCTACGACAGTTGGGAGGGTACATGGAGAGCGAGACCTGTCTCAAAAACCAAAACAAAATAACGAAAAAAGTAAACAAATTTGAGAAGTAATATTCTAAAGAAGAAATCCTAAAGATCAAAACAGCTGGATTCTGGTCACAGAAACGAATCATTTCTTTTTCACTTAAGGAGAACTTTGCTAGCCACATCATTTTTGTATGCAGGTCCTGTGCCAACTGGGGGACCTGTGTCAGCTTCTCTCCTATGGCCCTGCAAGACAGAGGGGCCATCCAAGTGCAGAATAGTGGGGCCCTATACACACACCAGCAACCACGTCTACTGTCCTGACAATGGTGCCTGTTTGGATCTGCAGTCCGAAGTCTGCCCTTGGGACTTATGAGCTGGCCTGACATGTGGGAACCACTGCTGGGCCCCACTGTCCTTCTGGGTCAGCTGAGCAGGAAGCAGCTGCCTCTGATGGCCTCCTCTATGCACAGAGAAGAAACTGCCACTCAACATGGCACAAAGCCATCACTGAGGAAACCAAGGACCGGAGTGAAGGAGCAACAGCCCACACCTGTGGGGATCTGAACTGGCACCATCTACGAGCTGACTTGTCCCTCAGGGAGATCCCAGGCCCTGTTGTCACTCAATGGTGACCTACATCCAGGCAGATGAACCCAGAAGATCTTTCAAAATGCAAAGGCCAGGCCTCCCCAGTTCTAAGCCAGTGCTGCACATGTCGAATCTTTGGTTTTTTCCCTTTTTTTTTTTTTTTTTTTTTTTTTGAGACAGGGTCTCCCTGTAGCCCCAGCTGGCCTGAACTCACTATGTAGACCAGGCTGGCCTTGAACTCACAACGATCCACCTGCTCTGCCTCCCGAGTGCTGGGATTAAAGGCATGCACCACCACACCCGGCTTTTTCCAGCCTTTTTGAGACAGGGTCTCCCTGTAGCCCCAGCTGGCCTGGAACTCACTATGTAGACCAGGCTGGCCTTGAACTCACAGAGATCTACCTGCCTCTGCTTCCCAAGTGCTAGGACTACAGGTGTGTGCCACCACGCCCGGCTTTTATTATTTTTATGTGTAGGCGTATATTGGCTACATGTAAGTGCACCCGTGTCATGGAGGACAGAAGAGGCTGTTGGAGTCCCTGAAACTGGAGTTACAGACAGTTGTTAGCTGCCATGTGGGTGCTGGGATTTGAACCCAGGTCCTCTGCAAGAACAGTCAGTGTTCTTAACCACTGAGCCATCTCTCCAGCCCCATGTCAAATCTTCTGAATTGAGTGCAACTGGTTGTTTTGTGGGGACCGGTTCCATGAGGAAGGTGGCCTGGAAAGCCTTGACAGCCATGATGAAGCCAGTGGGACTGTGGGAGAACAGCATCCTCCTACAGCTATTCTGACACTGCCTCCACAAGCTCCAGGGCCTGCCTCTCCACCTGTATAGACGAGGTTGCCACCTGACAGATTAAAGACACCTGGATCTGTGCTCACAAGTTCCGTCCACTGCCAGCAAAGTTGCTCCATAGCCCAAGGTAGAGCCAGAATCAGAACCAGGTGGAGTAAGCCCATGCTTATGTGTGTGTCTGTGCCAGGCCAGGGCCCCGGTGTGGCCAGGAAACGACAGATATCTAGACAGATCCAGGAGGCACTCCTTCAGGTGCCATGGAGGGGAAAGATCAGTCTGTTTCAAGTCAGAGGCCTGAGGAGTACATGCCTTGGGCAGGGGAGAGAGATGGCTGGAGCACATGTGTATGCATGTGACATGTGTCATGGGAAGTCCCACAGCTTCTCACTCCACTCTTTTACAGTCCATATCTAGCAGTTCCCTGCTCCATCCCACCCAAGAAACCTGCGGTGACCCTGTTGAGGGGCCCCAGGGTTTACGTGTCCACTCCCCTCCATCCTGTCCCTCCTCTCGCTCTCTTCTGTGCCCCTGTCTATCTCTTGCTTCAGGCCTAGGATGCAGTGTGCACGTGAGTGTGCATACATGAGTATGTAAGGCGAGCCCTTCCTGTGGGACTAAACATATACACATATTTACAAAGCTTGAAAAGAAAGCCCAGCCTCTGTCTTTGGCACCCAGGGGATGCAGGAAGACTGCACTGCATGAGAACACGACACAAGCAGAGCTGGGAGGGGGTGTCCACAGCACTTCTAAGAACAGCTGCAGCATCCTGACTAGAGAAGACAAAGACCAAAGGCTTTCAGGAAAATCGCTGGCAGTTTCTAGAAGGGACAGTATAGAGGCCACGGCGCCTATGCAGCTGCCGGCCCCACCAACAACAGGGAGAGGCAGGCTTGGTGCCTCACCCCACAAACCACGAGGAAACGAACTAGCTGGTCACTGCCGGGAGGGTGTTTGAGCAGGACTGTCCTGGGTAGGGCTGCTACTCCAGAACAATGCAGCAGCAGCTAGTGGCCCCAGGAGATCAGAGGTAGCCACAGGAGACCAGCATCCATGAGCAAAAGGAAAGGGGAAAAGGGCCTGGGCAGGGTTTGGTCCTATGAGGTCTCCATCCCAATGTCTGAATTAAAAAATAACTCAAGCTGGGCATGGTGGTGCACACCTTTAGTCCCAGCACTCAGGAGGCAGATCTCTGCGGGTTCAAAGCCAGCCTGGTCTACATAGTGAGTTCCAGGACATCTGGGGCTACAGGGAGACCCTGCTTCAAAAAGACCAAAAAATAATAATAATAAAATCTTTAAAAAAGATTTTTAAAACCCTCCCTCAAAACCAGGGATGACCAGGGTGAATGGGCACTGTGCATCCAGGCACATGTTGGCCTCTGACGAGGTGCAGCTCAGATCAGCAGCTCTGGCTTCTACGTCCATCACAAGCCAAGGGCCTGGAATTGGAGTGGTGCCCAAACTTCTACCTCAGCCTCCAGGGATGGCTTCTAACTTTATGATTTAAAAAATTTTAATAATGTATATATCAGGGTCAGTGTGTGAAAGCACTGGGGCCTGTAGAGGCTGGAAGCACCAGATCCTCCTGAAGCTGGAGTTATAGGGAGTATGAGCCACCTGACATGGATGCTGGGAATTGAACTCAGGTCCTCTGCAAGAGCAGTATGTGCTCTTAACCACTGAACCATCTTTCCAGCTCAGCTTTTCACTTTATGAACAACTGCCACTCCCAAAATGTAGTTAGGGCTCCCAAGAGATGAGTTAGCTAGAAACCCATGCTCAGTCCCTCCCTGCTTTGCCAGTGCCCAGAGTCCAGGGTCCACCTGTCTGTCACTGGGGTGTGACTAAGGTTCTAGGTCAGCTGGGATAAGCCATCCTCACTCCAACTAGATCTGTGCCATGTTCCCTGACAGGCTGGCCTCACATAATATCTGGGCTCAGAGGAAACTAGCCAAATGAAATTAGAATGCTGCTGGCTACAACCAACTCAAGCCCAAAACTGAACCAAGGTGAGACACAGGCTTTCCTGAGCACCCCAAAACAACAATGTGGCCTCACCCGTGTCATTTTCAGAAAGTCCAAGGATGGGCGTGTCCATCTGGCGTCCTCCTCCCGTCTCCGCTTGCGCCGGCCCCTTCTCCCATCTAGCACACAAGGCTGTGAGCGGCACCGGAGGAGGCCATAGCGCCGGCCTAGCTGGGGTGTGGATGTGGGGGTGCTGCTGGCTGAAGGCAGGCACGTGCCTGCATCCACAAGGTGCTCCTGTGAGAGGGACAGTCGGCGCCTGGAGAAAAATGGACAGGGCCCTGCAGAACGCCAGGGCAGACCTGAGCATGTGCTGCCCTCGCTGCTGTCCACAAAGCCACTGCTGGCTGAGGCTGGCCGGGGTGTCGGTGGTGACGTGGGGCCAGCGAGTGACACGGGACTCCTGGTCAGGCCTGTGCCTAGACTTCCCCATAGGGCAGGGCTCCCGGAGCTGCTGCAACACTGCAGCGTGGCACTCCCACCACTGTTGCATCGCCTCTTGGAGATGGGAGTCCACACCTTGGAGCTGCCAGGGCGCCATGGGGAGTGGCAGCGGGCTAGCTCCTCTGGTTCCGAGAGGGACCGGCAGTGCCGCTTGGTTGGTGGTGCTGCAGGTGGCCCTGTGTTTTCATGGACGTCCAAGAAGCTGCCCACATGCCGAGGACCTGGGGACTCTGGCTGCCACTTGGGACCTTCAGTGTGAGACACACCATGTGGGCCCAGGGGGAAGGGGCCTAAGGCTACTGCCTGGCTTCCAATGGACCATCCTCCATGTAAGGTGTTCCAGGGACTCCTGTCCACTGAGGAAACACAAAGGAGTAAAAAGAGAAGTGAACAGAAGAGCCACTGTTCTGCCCCGGACCACGGTGGTATCAAGCAAACACCCATAAACCAAGGAGGGGTACCCTACTGCCTCCCCTCCCAGGCTCATGGACACCTTTGCTCACATGGTTGGCGCCTCCCCACCTCCACTGGCCACTAACATCTAAAGGGCCAGCCTTTCCTGCTGGGTTAGCTGTGAGGCTCATTTCACTTCTTCAAGGAAGACACCTGGTCTTGAGGTAAGTCAGTGTCTCCCCACCTGTGTTTCCAGAAAAGAACCTGATTCTGTTCTCACTGTTCCACTGAGATACACTATGTCATCAAAATGCTGGCCAGCCTTTATCAGCCAGGAGCTCCACAGAGCTACTTCTTGGAAATGGGCACATTCCTTAATGACCCAAGTGAACCACCAGCGTCAAATCATATAGACAGAGGCTTGGCTTAAAGCTAAGTGCGGTGGCTCAGACCTGGGATCCCACTTGTGAGGCAAATGCAGAATTGCCATGAGTTTGCAGCCAGCCTGGCATACACAGTGAGACACCATCTCAAACAAAACAAGACTTGACCTCGACATGTGCCTGCATGTGGGGACAGTGAACCACGGCAGAGATTCCCTCACTTCTTCAGCCTCAAAGCACGGTGTTGGCAATGGCCCCTTGGTGGCTAGTGGTCCTGTAACACCATGTGCCCAAGAGCATCACAGGCAAGTTCAGCGTAAGAGGCACTTCTGTCCCCTCCATCAACACCCCCTGAGGAAGACTCAGGAGTCCTTAAGACATCTGATCCTAGGTGGCAGCTCACAAGACTCCGCAGCCCAGGAGCCAAGCTCTACAAATCTACTTCCTCCAGCACATGCCCATATGGCTCCCCACATGACAGCTCCCCACACACCTGCTCAGCCTAGCCAGCTCTCCTCTGGTCAACTCTAGCACCCAGCACATCTTGACACCCAGACTCTGCATGAGCTCCTCAGAGCTGCCATGGCCCTAGCTCCTGCTCCTCTTGTCAGCTATAAAGGGCAGACACACCTGCTCCAGCCCTCACTGTCACCTGGAGAAGTATCAAGTCAGTCAGATACATGGATTTCCTTATATGGAGTCAGTCCAGTGGTAAAGTTCCAGACACACTGACCTGCCCAAAGGGTCCTCTTGGACACTCTTGACAGGAAGGCATCTAACAGGCAGCTTGATCTCTCCCTGCTGTTTCCAGTCACTGTCAAGCTACAGGACATTTTACAGGCTACAGGGACCAATGGGATATATCCAGGGGCCACCTCTAGGGAAAGATACATAACCCTGAGGTGACCTGGGGCAGTAAGGAGGCAAGACAGGAGACTGAGGGCAGAAAGAAAGGACATCAGCAGTGTGTAAGAGACCCTTGGGGCTCTGAGTAGGAACTGAGGTAGTTAGTCTGGTCTCACATACAGGATAGACCAGAGAAGCCAAAGCGCACCCAGGCCAGGTAAGAAGGGACCAGCTGGGGAATGTCACTTCCTACTTCCAATTATTCAAGAAAGGTTAATAAAAAAACTCAAATTTAGTAATCTGGTGCTTAGGAGGTGAGCCTGACATGGCTCCATCATGTTAGCTCTTCTGTGTGACGCAGGGTGCTGAGCCAACTGTCAAAGCCAACAGAGGGTGATTCCAACCACATGCCTTTGCTTGGGTCCATCAGAAATGTGGACATCAGTGAGCTCCACACTTAGGGGTCACTGTCCTCTCTAGGTGCTGAAAAGCATATGTCAAGGAGTAAGGGCAGCCCTAGTGAGGCCTGGGAATACCTGGTCAGTGTATAACATAGAACAGCAGCAGAACCACACATGGCCTGACCTTGTAGATCACCCTTCCCCTGGTTGATGAAGGAAGTCACAAACAGAAAGGGCACAATGCTCCCCTAGCCTTCACCCACATCACTGCCAGCAAAGGAGAGGCTTTGTGGAGCACAGGCCCCTCCTGACCCTGGCCCATGAGCAGGGAGACTGGCAGCTAGTGACCTTCCTATCCCACATGCAGGTCATACAAAGGCCTTTCTGAACCTTGTTCTGAAGATCTGGTCCCGTTCAGCTCCAATATCCCCTCTTGATCAGGGTTAATGCCACCTTGCTCCACCCCTGGCTGCTCTAGCCCCAGAAAGACCTCGCCAGGGCTTTTGAGACACTTACCGCCGATCTCCAAAGGGAACAAGTAGCCACTTTTCAATTTCTCAGCAGAATACTAAAAAGACAAGAGCGAAATCTCAGTGGGAAGCAGGAAGAAATGCTTGTCTTTTTTCCCTGCAGTAGATTCTACTTCTCCCTAATGTCTCTGTGATTAAAATAAAAAGCATTGACCTCTGGAACACACCCCTTCCTTCCTTCTTTAATATTTTTTTTGGTGGGGGGGTCTTTTTGAGGCAGGGTCTCTCTGTAGCCCCAGCTGTCCTGGAACTATGTAGACCAGGCTGGCCTTGAACTCACAGAGATCCGCCTGCCTCTGCCTCCGAGTGCTGGGATTAAAGGCGTGCGCCACCACGCCTGGCTTTTTATTTTTATGTGTATGAATGTATTACCTGCATGTATGTGAGTGCACCCGTGTCATGCAAAGCTGTGGGGGTCAAAAGAGGGCTTCGGATTCCCCTGGTACTGGAATTAAGGACGGTTTGTAGCCGCCACGTGGGTGCTGGGAATTGAACCCAGGTCCTCTGCAAGAGCAGTCAGTGCTCTTAACCACTGAGCCATCTCTCCAGCCCCTCTTTCTTTCTTTTTGCAGAGAGAGGGGGAATGAGACACTTTGAGACAGGGTCTTCCTGTAGTCCCAGCTGGCCTAGAACTTCCTATGTAGACCAGGCTGGCCTCAACCTCAGAGATCCACCTGCCTCTGCCTCCAGATTGCTGGGATTAAAGGTGTGCACGACCACGCCTTCTCACACTTTTCTTCTTTTTTTAAAATCTCTAAATATTTATTTATTTCCATTTTATGTGTATGAGTGTTTTGCCTGCATGTATGTAAATGTACCACAATGCATACAATGCCTGCCCAGAAGAGGGCATTGGATCACCTGAAACTAGAGTTAAGGACAGTTGTTAGCCACCATGTGGGTGCCAGTAACCAAACCCAAGTCCTCCAGAAAAGCAGCCAGTGCTCTTAACCCAGTAAGCCATCTCTCCAACCCCTCACATCTTGATAGGTTTTTTTTTTTTCCTACATTATTTGTTTTGTGGGTCGGGGTGGGTCTGGGAGGGTAGTGGATATGTGGGGGGTGTCGCGGGGGATTCATGAGTGTGCAGGCATTGTGCAGTATGGGGGTGTTGTGCAGTATGGGGGCATTGTGCACATGCTACATAGAGCACACACTCATGTGAAGGTCAGAGGACAACTTGTGGGAATGGGTTTCTCTCCTACCATCATGTGGGTTCTGGGAATTGAACTCAGGTTGTCAGGCTTAGCAGCAAGCACCTTTACCAGCTGAGCCATCTTGCTGACCCAATAGTCATTTTTTAAAACCTAACAAAATCCAACCAAACAAACACACATCTCTATCCCAAGCCATGGCATGTTCCTCTTGTTGTTCCTGAGTCTCTTTTCCTGTCAGCTGGTTTGGGTTGCTAGTCTTTCAAACCTCACCACTTACCTACTTTTCAGCAAGACCCTGAGCCAGGACCCCAAAGTCCTTTACTCCTTGTGACAGTAGATATGGGATCCAAGCCCTAGGTTGTAGAGCGTGGACCCAGTCCTGAGACGGGTCCAGAGAGCAGGGTCACCCCCTCCAGGGAGGCAGACAGGCAGATTCAGAGATTGGCAGGAGGTACTACAGCAACTGTACCAGAAGCCTTAGGGAACTGTTTCTTCATATAAAGGGAAAGCCAGGGGTCTGATACACACCTATAATGCCAGAATTAAAGAGCCAGGGAAGGAGGACTCCTCCAAGTTACAGGCCAGACTGAGCTACTTAGCAAGAGACCCTGTCTGAATCAATCAACTCATCAATCACCCAATCAATCACTAAGCAGCAAGACACATGCCTCTACTCCCAACACTTGGATTCCACAGGAGATGGAAGCAGAAGGGTCAAGACTTTGGTCACATAGTAAACCCAAGGCCAGGAGGGCTACAAAAGACTCCATTCTCAGCCAGGCATAGTGGCACACGCCTGTAGTCCCAGCACTCGGGAGGCAGAGGCAGGTGGATCTCTGTGAGTTCAAGGCCAGCCTGGTCTACATAGTGAGTTCCAGGCCAGCTGGGGCTACAGGGAGACCCTATCTCAAAAAGATCCAAAAAGGGCTCCATTCTTAAAAAGACAAAAAATAAAAATAGAAGGAGCAAGTTAAAAATTGGGTTTGTAGACGGGCGTGGTGGCACACGCCTGCAGTCCCAGCACTTGGGAGGCAGAGGCAG